ATCAGATTACAATATCACTGGAATATTACTGCAATGTTACAATGTGACTATCGTATGGCAACATAGTGACAATATTACAACAATATTGCGCGATGATAAATCTCATTGCAATATCATAGGAATATTGCCGCTATATTCCAGCATGATAGACCACTACGTAATATTTCTGAATATCGCAGTAATACTTCAATGTGATATATCAATTTACAATATCGCAGGAATATTATAACAATGTTGCGGAGTGATATATCAGATTACAATATCAGTGAAATATTACTGCAATGTTACAACGTGACTATTATATGGCAACATAGTGACAATATTACAACAATATTGCGCGATAAAAAATCTCATTGCAATATCATAGGAATATTGCCGCTATATTCCAGCATGATAGACCGCTATGTAATATTTCTGAATATCGCAATAATACTTCAATGTGATATATCAATTTACAATATCGCAGAAATATTATAACAATATTGCAGAATGATATATCAGATTACAATATCAGTGAAATATTACTGCAATGTTACAACGTGACTATTATATGGCATCATAGTGACAATATTACAACAATATTGCGCGATGAAAAATCTCATTGCAATATCATAGGAATATTGCCGCTATATTCCAGCATGATAGACCACTACGTAATATTTCTGAGTATCGCAGTAATACTTCAATATGATATATCAATCTACAATACAATATCGCAGGAATATTATAACAATGTTGCGGAGTGATATATCAGACAGATTGAATAAATCAGCATTATAAAGTGAAAAAATGTTAGAAAAATCGATATAAGATGAAATTCGTGATTTCGGCTGCAATGTTGAGTCCGCCATATTGAAAAAAAATTTAGAAAAGAAACTACCCACATATTTTTAAGGTACAAATGTTAATAACGCGATCTTTGTAGTTTCCGGTATAAAATAACAATTTTTTTTAAGAAATCAATGATTTTCATAGAAGACAGACTGAAGAAAATACGCCGTTTTGTTTAGATCTAAATGGTTAAATTGTAAAAAGCTTACCCGAAAACTCTTAAAAAAATTATTCCTGAAAAGAATTATTAGCGATTTCTTTAATATCTGTTAGCTCAAAGTTTATAGTCACGCTATTGACGGTTGCTGTACTCAGTTTCAGAATCCTTTACTGAATAAGACATAAAATTTTTTCGATTTGTGAAAAGTTCTTATTGAGAACTTCTATAAACATTATTCTTTATGCTATCATTATATTTATATTTCTATTATTGAAAATTGTCTTATATATATAGACGTTAATATTACATCTGTATTTTTATTATAAAAATGATAATGATAAGATACTGATTTTAATAAAAACTTTTTAGCAATTATGGTTTATAGTATCTTACAAATCTTATAAAATTTATGATTCTGAAGTTATGATTACCGAAAATATTTGCGTTTTGACTTAACAGATAAGCGATATATCAGACAAATATCACTGGAATATTACAATATAACTGGAATATTACTGCAATGTTACAATGTGACTATCGTATGGCAACATAGTGGCAATATTACAACATTATTGCGCGATGATATATCTCATTGCAATATCACAGGAATATTGCCGCTGTATTCCAGCATGACAGACCGCCACGTAATATTTCTGATTATCCTCGTAATACTGCAGTGTGAAACAATTTATATACAGGGTGTCCCATTTTAATGTCACATCACAAATATCTCAGAAACACTGCGTTAAATCAAAAAATGTTTCAGACAAAAGTTGTTTGGCTTGAAGGAGGACAAGAAAACGATAGCATTTTGTTTATAAATAGCGCCACTTTTGAGATATTCACTGACAATCAATTTTCATAAATGGAAATCCGAATTTTTTGTTATATTTTCTTTTTCTATCAATTAATTTGAACAATTTGCCTGAAACATTTTTTTATTTGGTTAATATTTTTATTTGGTTAATATTTTTTGAAATATTTAAGGAAAACTTGGTAACTTCTAACTTACGATATCTCGCTAACTATTCGTCGAAAGAAAAAATAGTATTAGACTTTTTTACTTACTATCAAGAATATATTATTATAATAGTGCCCTAACTTTTGTTAACTTATCGACCTTTGGAAATTTCAAAATTATTAAATTAACAAAAGTTAGGGCACTATTAATATATTCTTGATATTAAATAAAATAAAAAAGTCTAATACTATTTTTTTGTCGACGAATAGTTAGCGAGATATCGTAAGATAAATGTTGAAAAAGTTACCAAGTTTTCCTTAAATATCTCAAAAAATATTAAGCAAATAAAAAATGTTTCAAACAAAAGTTGTTCAAATTAATTGGTAGAAAAAGGAGACATAATAAAAAGTTGGGATTTTCATTTATGAAAATTGATGGTCAGTGAATATCTTGAAAGTGGTACCATCTATTAACAAAATGCTATCGCTGTCTTATGTCCCCCTTCAAGTCAAACAACTTTTGTCTGAAATATTTTTTTATTTAACGCAGTGTTTCTAAAGCGTGGTCTACAATGGCCGTAAGCAATAAGAAGAAAGCGTGAACAGTAAGAAATGGACCAACTACAGTTGATTATTTTTGTCATAATCGACTGTGGTTGGTTTATTTCTTACCACTTACGCTTACTTCTTACTGCTAACTGCCATTGTAGACCACGCTTGAGATATTTTTGCGAGATTTATGCCTAGAACATTAAGTATTTTTGCAATATTGCTGTGATATTTATGCAATATTTCAGTAATATTCCTGCAATATTGCGGCAACATTTAAGAAATATTGTAGCAACATTCCTGCACGATTGCAGTAATATTTCGGCAATATTTTGCAATTTTATGCAGTATTGTGGCTATATTTCATAGGTATTCCTGCAAGATTGTGGCGATATTTCAACAACATTGTGGCAATAGTCCTGTGATATTGTGACAATATTCCTACAACATCATAACAATATTCCCGCGATATTTCTGCGAGACTTATGCCTAGGACATTAAATATTTCTGCAATATTGTTGTCATATTTATGCAATATTTTAGTAATATTCCTGCAACATTTCTGTAATATTCCTGCAATATTGCGGTGTTATGTGGGAATCGCTTGGAGCCAGGTCTGGGCTATACAGCGGGTGCGATATAACCTCCCATCCAAGCTCTCGGAGCTTCTGGCGCGTCGTCAAAGATGTGTGCGGCCTGGCATTGTCTTGATGGAACACAACACCCTTCCTATTGGCCAATTCTGGCCGCTTCTCGTCGATCGCCTGCTTCAATCTGGTCAGTTGTTGACAGTGTAGGTCCGAATTGAGTAATTGGCCCGATGGGAGCAGCTCATAGTGGATGATTCCCTTCCAATCCTACCAAACACACAGTAAAATCTTGTTGGCCGTTAATCCGGGCTTGGCGATCGTTTGGACCGGCTCACCGCGCTTGGACCACGATCTTTTTCGCCTGTTGTTCTCGTATGTGACCCATTTTTCATCGCCAGTCACCATCCGCTTAAAAAATGGGTCAATTTCGTTACGCTTCAGCAAAGAATCGCAGGCATGAATTCGGTCCAAAAGGTTCTTTTGCGTCAATTCGTGTGGCACCCATACATCGAGCTTCTTCTTAAGACCAGCTTTATGCAAATGGTTCCAAACGGTTTTCTGGCTAATCTTCAGTTCCTGGGCAATGGAATAAGTGCTCGCATGCCGGTCCGACTCGACGATTTCCATGATTTTATCGACATTTTCGACGATTGGCCTACCAGAGCGTGTCTCATCTTCGACGTCCATATTACCAGAACGGAAACGTTGGAACCACCGCTTTGCTGTTGCATTCGATACTATATTGAGTCCATAAACGGCACAAACTTTTTTGGCCGCCTGCTCCGCTTTTTCCCTTTGGTTGTAGTGGTACTGAAGAATGTATCGAATTTCCTCTTTTTTTACCTCCATTTTGGAACGTTCTAACACACAACTGGCTTCACCAAACACAAAACTGTCAAAGAACTTTTTTTAAAGCGTTATGTCACCTTTAAGTCGCAGTATAGAATGACCAGATGCGACGTATACATCGTGAGATACGACCTCACTAAAGCCATCTAGCGGAAAACGCTCAAAACTTTTTACTTAACCCAATATTTCAAAAAATATTAGGCAAATAAAACAATGTTTCAGATAAAAATTGTTAAAATTAATTGGTAGAAAAAGAAGATATAATAAAAAATTGGGCTTTCTATTTTAAAAAATTAGGTTGACCCTCTACTGATCTTGAAAATGCCATCCAAATAAAAAACTGATAATGCCATTCTCTTTTCTTTTTGAAATCATAGAAGACGTGTTTTAGCCTTTTTTAATATTTTTCATAGTTTTCGAGATATTTTACCTGTTACATATGAAATTTAGCATCCTGTATTTGCGTAGTTACTTAGCTCGTAAAGACGTTTGAATTATATGTTTGTTTTATTTAATGAGCTTTCTAATTTTTGTCTTTTTCCTAAAAAATAATTATATATCGATGTTGGACACTTCTATGTATAGAAAACCAAAGTGAAATGTGAAGATAAAAAATATGAAAAATATTAAAATGTATAGTTAAAAAAGACAAAAAATATTGAGTATTTTTATACTCAAAATAAAATAAAATGGAGAAAAAGTACTAACACAAAATAGAGGAAAAGTGTAAATGTGAGATAGAGGAAATTCTTGACGAAAGTATATGTAGTTCCTAATATAGAGAGATATAATTTTTTCTGGCTTATATATATATCTGTGCAATTATTTTGTTTATGTAAATTTTTGAATATTATTTTGTTTTATTTAAGGAGCTATTGATTTTTTGTTTCTTTAAAAAATTATATCTCTTTATCTCTTATGGATATTATTTTCTTATGTAGAGAAAACCAAAGTACAATATATAAATATAGAGTTCTGTTTATTAAAAATAAAAATATATATACATGTGTTAATATTATAAATATATTTAATAAAGTTTTATTATATATTTGATATTTCCAGTCTTTTACATCTTTATATGTATACACTTGCACTTCTTACTATACATTACGAGATAACTTACGCATAATTTGTTCGCGCTTTTGTATGGCAATTATCTGTGGACGTTCTTCGTTTTCTATATATATGTTTAAATTTTCTTCATTAGATATTTCTTCAATCACGTCATTGATATTATATTCATCCATCTCGTTTTGCATAAAATTGTGTGCAATACACAACATGCTGCAATTATTTTTTTTCCTAGATCCATATCCTTAATATCCAAATATTTCAAACGTCGAAATCTTCCTTTTAAAAGTCCAAATGTTCGCTCGATTACTGAACGAATTGAACTAAGTCTGGTATTGTATAATGACTGAGCAACTGTTAAATGTCCTGTCTCTAAATGGTGTCATTAAATTGATCATTAACGGGTATGCAGAATCCCCAATGATGTGTTCATCGGTCAGCAATAATGGATTTCTTTCATTTATAATACGTTGATAAATTGTACTATTTCTAAATACGCGAGCATCGTGCATTCTTCCAGATAAACCAATAAAGCAATCAATAAATTTTCTGTGATGATCACAAATACCTATAATGAAAAGTAATCATTTTCGCACAAACTGGTTCTCTAAATTAGTAAGTTAATACATTTTATACGTTCAGTAAAGATGTACTTTGCAATATAATTGAATGGAAACTTTTTCTGTTGTAATAGTCATGTGCATTGTTTTTTAGTTGTTTGCATGGAATGTGACAACCATCAACTGCTCCTATTACTCCCGGAAACCCAAATGACTTCTGCTCGAATATCTGCCACATAAAACACATTGACTAATGTAAATAAAGACACAAGAATCACAAATTATTATGATTAAGTTTAATTTTAACTTTTTTTTATCCTTTCAACTTATTGCTAATAGTGATTTTAAGTATAATAATAATAATAATTGTTTACTTACATCTACATATGTGTTTTTGTAAATATGATTTGGCCATTGTATGTACACTGGCATCAAGTCAACAAGTACATCAACGATTTCTTTAAAAATATGATGTGCTGAACTTGTAAGTATATTAAATCTATCTCCTGCTGCTAGAAAAGTTACTGGTCTGCTTAATAACCATATTGTCAATAATACTTTTTTTTGGAGAGGTGCATATTCATTTGCATATCTTGCAAGATGTTGTCCAATAACATTTGACAAATTCTATTAAATAAAAATAGAAGTACAAAATATAATTGATTAATCACTCCTACAAATAGTTATTCTCTAGATACATATAGCTATTCTCTAGAAAATTAAGTTTAGATATAAACTCATATTTGATATTAAATTGTACAAAATTCATTAACTAATTTTTATAATTGTTTCATGTATATAGTTGCTTACTTTGCAAGTTGCTCTGTTTATTCTGAACATTTCTTTAAACTGGTCCTATAAATCTAAGAATTGTTGCCTCAAAATAATGCAAATTACGACGTTTTATTCGGGCACGACATTTTTTTAAATTAAGGTTGATATTAGGTCTTATTAATGATTGTATAATGTTGTTTAAATTATGCATGGGTATTCCACCATCTTCCGCAAATAATAACATTAATTTAACAGCTATTGATTCCATTTTATCTGTATATACCTAAAACTTTAATTTTTAATAACTTTATTATCTATACATTATCCGCACATAGATTATATATTGTCAGATTATATATATTTTTCACTGTATTATTATAATTTACGTGTAAATGTACAATTCTGCTGTTAATCCTAACCTTATTCACTTTTCAACACATTGGAAGTAGCCATCTTTGGCTGCGTTCCGAAATTCACTGTCAGTACTGAAAATACATAGTTTGTGTCACGTATACCATAGAATTTCAGTGCTAGCAGTGAATATCGGAACGCAGCCATTATAAGTAGCGATATCGCAAACGGATCATTGGCCGCGTTCAGTAGAACAAAGTGATCAGAGAGCGCTTAGTGATTATTATCTGTGATTGGAGCATTCTTTTAGATTCTTCATAGACTCAGAAATATTTACCAATCAGGAGCGAGATTCAGTGATAAATCTAGTAATGTTGTCCAACTGTTGAGTCTGCTGAACGCGGCCATTGGGTGCATTCAGTACTACAACCGTTCACTGAGCGCTCAATGAGCTTTTACATTTGATTGGTATATTCCTTTAGATTTAAAAATATACACCAATCAGATGCAAGAGCTCACTTAGCGCTCAGTGAGCGGTTGTAGTACTGAATGCACCCATTCAGTGGAAAATTCATAGCGGAGTTCGATCCATCGGAAACTGATGTCTCAACTGTTGAGTCTACTGAATGCAGCCATTGGCTGCGTTCAGTAGAACAAAATTATCAGTGAGCGCTTACTGATTATTGTCTGTGATTGGAGCATTCTTTTAGATTCTTCATAGACCCAGAAGTATTTACCAATCAGGAGCAAGATTCGGTGGAAAATCTAGTAATGTTGTCCAACTGTTGAGTCTACTGAACGCGGCCATTGGGTGCGTTCACGACACTCAACAGTTGCGCAACTGTTGAGTAATTCGTCAACGTTATTGGTCTGAATGTAAGGATCTAACAGTAAGGACCAATAGTCATTAATCGCTCACTGAGCGGTTTTCTCCGCTGAACGTACCCGATGGGTGCATTCAGTACTACAACCGCTCATTGAGCGCTAAGTGAGCACTTGCATCTGATTAGTATATATTTCCAAATCTAAAGGAATATACTCAACTGTAAAAGCTCATTGAGCGCTCAGTAAGCGGTTGTAGCATTGAATGCACCCATTATGTGCAAATTTACAGCAAAAATCGCGCAGAGCCTGCAATATAACAGGGTCTGCCACCAATTTGCCGCTGCAAGCTCTGTACAGTTTTGCTGCAAATCTGCAGCAATTGTCCGATAGCAGGTTCTGTCGCATATTTGGCGATAGTTTGGCAGCAGGATTTAATATAACAGCTCCTGCATCAAATATGTTGCTTATTTGCCATCAAAAATTGGTAGCATCAGGTTCTGCTTCAAATCTGGTTACTCAAGTTTGGCTATATATACATCTACTTAAATATTAAATTTTCGCGAGATCACAGATAATAATTATGGTATGTGATATCTGATAATTATAAGACGAAGAGAATAACAAAGTTGTTCATTGAGGAAATAATTTTACTTTTCTTTGGATTTTATTATAGCAAATATCGTAGAAATATTACCGCGTTGAGGTTATAAATTTTACTAATTAAAACTAGAATCAAATAATGCTGCACTTAAAATACTATATATGATAATAATATTTTATGTTTTAGGCGATGAACATCGCTAGAGGAATAGGACTTGTTTTTGGTAGAGTGAATATACTAAAAGAACATTTATTTTCATCTAAAAATTTATTATATACAAATGTAGGAATATCAATTTTTCTATCTGGTACAGGAGATGTTATAGAACAGCATTATGAAATATTAAAGGTTTAATGATTATAATTATAACATAACATTTTTGAAATTTTTATATTATAATAACATTTTTATGTTAGGGCCAATGGGACAAATGGAGTTTTACTAGAACAAAAAACATGGCTATATCTGGTACATCCATTGGGATATTTTGTCATTATTGGTACAATTTCTTGGATATTAAAATAACTGGACATACGCTCAATATAGTTCTAAGAAAGGTGGTTATAGATCAATTGATTTGTTCACCTGTTTGTATAAGTATATTTTTCCTAACATTAGCTATGTTAGAGAATAGCAATCTAGCAAAATTGAAGGAAGAAATCCAAGCAAAAGCACACAGACTCTATATAGCTGAGTGGATTATATGGCCTCCAGCACAAGTTATTAATTTTTATTTCCTTCCTACACGATATAGAGTACTCTATGACAATATGATATCTCTTGGTTATGATATATACACAAGCCATGTAAAATATAACACGTGAATAATTAACAATTAAGTTGACTAGTTGAATTTACAAAATTATCAACATGAAAATAATTTAAGTAATAAATTAAATAAAATGACCATTACTTACAGGTTTTCCCTTGTACTAAAATTCTTATTTTTATATTAGAATTATTTCTTGTAAGGACTAATATTAATGATACATTTGCCATGGTATATTTAATTTAAGATGCCTTATATGTATTGTAATTTAAAACTGAGTTTTATAAAATTGCAAATTGTGTGAATTACAAATAAGATATAATATAAATAAATTAATATTATTTTTGTTTATGCTCTATTTCTAAAATAGTCCAAATGAAGTTTCATGTTAATACACATTGTGATGATATGCAATTGTTTCGCCTTATAAGCATGATACACATGTTCATTTAATTTTGCTGACCATTATTTTTCACAAACTATTACGTATGATTTACGAAATCTTGTTTTCTGCATGTTAATACTGCTAATATTTCTTATTTTTATAAAGATAATTTTATTTGTTAAAACATTCCATCATGAATGCCGATAGGTACTAATATAGTGATAAATAATAATAAATTACGAGCTACCAATTTCCAATCATTTGGTACTGCATATGGTGCTAGTACATGCGTCAATCTATGAATCTGAAAAGCAAAATTTCCATTAGACAATATATATTTGCAGTTACAATCACATATCTTAGTAATATGGGAAGCAACTAGTATTTACTTCATGACTAGCGCAGATGAAAATAAACGATGTAATCAATAAATTTAATACTGGAAATCTCGGTAACAATACGAGCACTCCGTGCGAATCTGCCGCCAGCCATATGTGACCCTGTGCAACTAAAGTTTCCAAACTTATTCTACCTAATCCAGCTAAAAGTGCGGAATGTTTTCCACGTAATGCCAACGATGCGTTTCGTAGAGCGATATATCCTATAATCTACAATCAAATAATAATTAGATACACAACTAAAAGTACAATAAGAAAAGAAGTTAGGTGATTTACCGGAATAAAAGCGACGTAAGAGTGGATTTCTTCACACTCTGCGACGGAATGGCACAAAATCGTGAAAGTAGTATATGCTATCAAGGAAACTAATGCCAATAAAGAAGATAAAAGCTGTACCCGGAATGTGATCTATTCTTTGAAGAGCTACAAGACCAGCTCCGAAAGTCAAGCCCAAGCCACGCTGTATCTATCGACTCTCCAGCGAGACCACCATTCGCGAATATCGTCATCGGTCGTCACGAATAATGCCTTCCATGGCCTCGTGACGAAAACTTTCTCAAAAGAACACCTGCACTAATGAAGTGCGTTATATTTAGAAATTCTGATGCGTTCTAAAGATTTCCTATTACCTCTGACATGTATAATATGGTGATTATCGACACAAGTCCCAAAAGCTTCAGAGCAAAGTACAGCAAGACTCTCGGACCATATTCTGCCAAACTTCCTGAATATATTCTGGGTGGCAACCAAGTCAGAAAGTAAATAACTAAAAACCAAAACGATACCAACGGTACAAAGTGATAGAATTGATATGGTCTATTCATACAAAGGCATAGTGATACTGTCAATAAATTTAGTCTGAACATGACCTGAAACATAGAGGTTAGTTTTGTTTCTAATAAAAAAAAAAGAAAACTTTAATGATATAAAATACACAATTTTTCTGATACATACTCTAGCAAATCTGACAAGAGATACATCACCAGTTTGCCAAAAATAACAAAAGTGCCCGTATCCAGACAAAAATAAGTAAGCTGAGTTAATTAATCTTAAGTACATGTAAATGGGTAAAACGTTTTTGGCACCAGTAACATGATATATGAGTACAACCGCTTGCATCAAACCTCTCCATTCATCTGTTTGTTCTCTATTTAATGCACTTGGTCCTCTTTCACGATCTTCGGTGAAAAAATAATCCAAGGGCCAAGATATACCCAAGTGGTAACCAAAAGCTGAATTCGCTATAATTTTATTTTCCTTCATGAAAAAATTTGTTCTGTGAATAAAATAAAAGTAAATGAAGTTATTGAAAAAAAGTTATATACAGAGAAAATTGCAAATTCAGTCAAACATGCCATTACTTACCTGTCACATAAGTAAAAATATGCTAGTATAATCGAGAAAAGAGCCAATGACATGATGAGAGTATACAAATCTTGCATTTCAGACTGTTTAACTTGAGTGACTTCTGAAGCACCTTCTTCCTCTGCATCTTCTGTTTCTTCCATACTAACATGAGAATAGAACATTTCCGAACGATATTTGCAAAATTTTCTGTATAATCCCACTGCTCCTCCTATTGTTATACTATCGCAAATTATCATACTTATTTTCTTTATAAAGCACACTTTTAGCATACAAATAATAAGTATAATTTTTTACCATAATGCAAGTGCAGACAGACTTAGTAGTTGCAAAGTGGTTGCTGGTTCAGGATAGCTGCAACAACTGCCATCATCAAAATTCATATGGTCATTGCAATATGTGTTTAATAATATCTGTATTTTATGACGAAGTGATAATGGACTTGCTAAATAGCCATCTGGACTTTGTTCAAGGACACCTGTACCTACTAGTTTACTGCTTTGGCCATATATAAGCCTCACTATGGGACAGTATCTGTATGCAGCAATTATGAAGTATTCAATTTTTCCTTTGTGATAACAGAAGAATTAGATTACATTAGCAATACCTTCTTCTGCTGCTTTGTTACACGAATTGATTTGTTTGTTATCCAACTTGATAATTGTGAAGGCAGTCTTTCTTTGAGCACAGGATCTTGTAACATCCACAGAAATTGTGATCCC